TCGACCAACTCGCATGGTAACAAATTGTCAATTTAATTGTTATACTAAAAGTAGATTAACAAGTGGGATTCTAGATCTTAGCAATACATCTCATAAATTTGATAAACTCTTACTCTAATTTCTTGTGCGTGATAAATTAAATATAGATTTATTAGAAACTATTATTGCTATTCGATTAAGAGCATTATTAACTTTAACTCGATCAAACACGTAGTTCTCGTGGGTTCGACGCTTTACACACTACTATATTACTTGATCATGACCCCGTTCACTTGCGGAAAATCAAATGATCAAAACTCTATTATAATATTATGATTTATGTGGAATTCTATTCAAGTTCATAAAATATATGAAAATTCATTAAACTCTAAGATGGACATCCACCTTAACTAGAATTGGGAAGGGGTTAGGTTGAAGCTCAATTCATAATCAAATCGATTCAAATTGAACATATTCGAGTAGTTTGACGATTCAGTTTATCGACCGAATTATATTTTTATTTAAAGTTCTTTGCCCTTCTAATCAATCCTTCTCAAGTCAAAACAAGATCAATCTTTTGGACCCATAAATCTTCTAGGGTATTTTTCATAAAAATCTAAAAAGAGTTATTTTTCAATTTTTTGTTATCCATAAAAAGCTAATGCTACCAATGAAGCAAATTTAATGCATGTTTGATAAGACTTTATTAAATTTTTATGAACTTCTTAACTTGTCAAACTTTAAATGCAATTATACGTTTCTTGGAATCCATAATTTTTTAATCACACATTTCATCAACTTTTATCAAAAATTACAAAAACTATTATTTTTTCAATTGTTTGTCAAACAACCAATTAACATCCATAAAAGATGATTAAATCATACATAAAACTAAAAAAATGGGTGGAAAAGGATTTCCAATTTTTAGGAATGGCAATTGAATAGGTCTTTCTATAAATCCCATTGTTGAAACAACGTATCACCCTTTATTAAAAGGAACACTTTCAGAACTCTCAGAACGAGTAATGATATTTATATATTATTGTGTACAAATTGATAATGAGAGAGAGAGAGGAAAAAAATTAGTCAGTTCATATAATCAACATCATCTATATGTACACAATGATGTACAAATAGCATTACTCCTCAAAATTTGTTGGTACAAAACGCAAAAGTCCATTTACGAATTGAAATTAACTTCTCAAATCCATGGCATACAATTCTTCTCCCTTGTAGATTTCCAATCAGAACCTGGAATTAGACTTTTTTCCTCTTTTACAGGTAATTCTCTTAGAAATTTGACAGCAATCGTGTGTCAGTGTGTGTCAGGGGAGATGACGAAGA